TTTTTCAGCTGTTCACTGCACACATGGTTTCAACAGAACAGGTTTTCTGATAAGCTCTTACTTTATTATGAAAAATGACTGGGCTATCGACTATGCAATCAGCGCATTTGCAAAAGCCAGGTAGGTTCTGTTTTTATCATCATTAACTTTATCTTCTTTCCAGAGCTCCATAGAAAGTTTGGAGCTATGTATATGTTGCTTTCCAAATCCATTGGACAGTTGCCTTTCTCATAGTGTAATACTTTTGTTTTCTAAAGGTAGTGGCTTTTTGGCCATCTTACATCAAATTTGAAGGCAGGTATATGTGTATATATATTACAGGCATGTATATATATATATTATATATATATATAATATATATATATATATAATATATATATATATATATTTTTTTTTTTTTTTTTTTTTTTTTTTTTTTTTTTTTTTTTTTTTTTTTTACTAAGTAGAAATAAATAATAAAAAAAAAACCTGATGTTTATCAGTGTGATTGTCTAGTGATTTACTCTACTCCAATCAACAGACATCCAGGCATATACAAAGCAGACTACCTGTGTGAACTTTATTCTCGATCAGGTGATGACCCTAATGATGCCCCACCTGCCCCAGAATTGCCGGACTGGTGCCATGGTATGTTTTTGTGTATAATTGATGTTAGAAGTAAGAGTGTTCAAGTCTGTTTAAAAAGAGCAGTATGCTCTGGTCTTTCTGATTTTATGAGAAAAATTTTAGTTCATGGTTAGAAAGAGACTGGTGTGGCAGTAATATTAGCTATTGTTTGTAAAAAATATATTAAAGATTTTATATATATATTTTTTAATTTTTTATTTTTTATTATTTTTTTAATGCTATGTTTCTAATTGTACTGAATCCTATAATTGCAGAAGACAGTTTTGTAGATGATGATGATGAAAGCATAGGGGGGGGAGGCGGTGGAGGAGGTGGAAGAGGGAAGAAGAGAGAAAAAAACAAGAAAAACCCCACCTTCATGGAGGGAGTTTCTGGTGTTTATCCTATCACAGTTCAGCCAAAGCTGTCTGAAATACAGAGGCGGATACAGCAGTTATGTAATTGGAATGGGTAAGGAGGATTTTCTCCTTTTTCTATCATATGGCTTACTTTGTTGAAGGTTGAAAAATGAATTTTAAGTGATACCTGGTAAAACCCATTTATGCTTATAATAGCTGGTGTGTTAACTTTCATTGGTATGCATTCATAGCAATTCATGTTTGAATATTAATTTTTAGGTGGAAGGAGTTATATTTGCAGTTTTCTGTGAAATTGAAATGAGAGTTAAATGTGTTTGGAACTGGGTTCCCCGGATGTCAGCCAGTCAGCATGGACCAAGAAAACCTTGGTTTCTTGCGAGACAAGCCCTATAAAGTGTCTTGGAAGGCGGACGGGACGAGATACATGATGCTCATAAGTATGGAGTTTTATAGTATAAGAATAGGTGTTAAATTTTAAGTTAAGTAAGCTTGTACACATCCATGTTTTACTAAACGAATTTAAAGTTATACAGTATCATTGAGGTTGAATAGAACAGGGTAGTACTATATTTTTATTGTCTGTGGATTGCTATAAGATCTCAGCATACTTGAAAGCCATTTCTAAATATTTTACTCCCATGCTCTTTTACAGATGGGAGGAAGGAAGTCTATTTGGCAGATCGTGACAATAGCATCTTCCAGGCGCCCGAAGTGGAGTTCCGACAGAAATTTGACCTGATGGTACACATGTCGGATACACTAGTTGATGGGGTACGTTATTCCCCCCTTATTTTTTTTTTCTTACTTTCTCTTTCGCCCTTTCTTTTCCTTCTTCATTGTTTCTTTTGTTTTCTTTCTTTTTAATTTTTTTGTATTTTATAATTTCTTTTATCTTAGTCATTCTTGTCTTTTTAAGTTTTATAATTTCTTTTATCTTAGTCATTCTTGTCTTTTTAAGTTTTCCATTCTTTTATTTCTTCTCTCATTATGTCTTTTATTCTCATCTTATTCTTTCTTCCCATTTGTTTCTTTCATATTTTCCTTTCTTTTATGTATCCTTTCCTTCTTTTATTCTTTTCTATCCACCTTCATTCTTATCGATCTTCCTCTCCTTCTATTTCTTTTCTGGCTTTGTCATAAGTGAAAAAGAAAAGGCAAAAAAACAAAAGAAAAAAAAACAACCAGAATGATAAATCAACCAGAAGAGATATATTTGCTAACATAACTACAGTTGCATTAGAAGTGAATCTTAAGAGAAAAACATATCATTTCTTACAAAGAAAATGAAAAGAAACCAAAGGAAAGGCAAGGTGTAATCAAGATGTGATGAAGTAGCATCTTAAGTTTATGCATTGCTTCCAGTTGTCCAGAAGCTTTTTTTAAAGATTTAAACTGGAGTTTTGTTTGAAACTTTGCAGGAGATGGTCATAGACACAAATCCCAAGACAGGCGAAAAAACTCCACGATATCTCATCTACGATGCTGTCCAAATTCAGGGTCGGGACATCATAAACGACACTTTCCAAATGAGATATGAACGGATTATGGTGAGTACTTTTTTTTATTGCTATATGTACCTAAGAATAAATATGCAGGCATAGCTATAGTCTGGGGTAACTGTAGGGTGTTCAGTTGTATGTCAGAATTCCCATGTGAGCCAGACTAAAAACTGAACTGCAAGTGATAATAGGCCTCATCTGCTATCCATGCTATAAACATAATTGAAATTAAGTTGAGTGCTTGAGTGCAATTTTCGTCTTCTGAAGCTGCAGGATATTTTTTATTTGTTCATCATTGATTAATTAATCATTATTTTTCTTACTTTATATGGCAAATACCTTCGATTCTCTCACAAACAAAGAGATTTAAGCCATGAATGTATAATTACCTTGAAGAAAGGACCTGTAAGGGGAATGGAAGAGGCTGCGACCATGGAAGTAGGACTGTATATAAAAAATGTGACCACGATTGTGGCCAACTGGGCCATTGGGGTTAATTTTGCTTCCAACATTGAGGTGGTGATTGCCGAATAATGTGAGCAGATATTTAACATGTCTTTGACAGGATGTTGATGTAGTCTGTTACAGTGTAGGCTAGGCTTATAAAAGTTTAATTCTTGTATATCTGAGAGGGGGCATCTTTATAATACCTTCCTTGGGTTTGAGTCTTGACAAATTATCTTAATTTGTTGTAGATTTCTTTTAATCTGAAATGGAAAACAGCTTTACAGCTGTGTTATTTTAACAGTTCACTTAGTCCATGAAATGAAAGTAACAAAATATGTATACATGTTTATGAGCATTGCAATCAAAACCGATTACCAGTTTATATACATTTTCACTTCATAAGAATCTTCTCACATGACCTATAATTCTGAAATTTCTCATATCTCAAGATAAGCAGATGTTCCTTATTTCTAGTGACTCCCGTTTCTTTTCATTTTACAACTGACTCTTCACATTACAGACGGATATCATCTGCCCGAGAAATGCTGCCATAGAAAAGGGCCTCCTAAACAAACAGAAGGAACCCTTCAGCGTGCGGAGAAAGGATTTCTGGGATGCCAACGAGCACTATACCCAGAAGCTCCTGAGCGAATCATTCCAGTCCAAGCTGTGCCACGAACCCGATGGTTTGGTATTCCAGCCCGAGTGTGATGTAGGTTGAGGCGTTTGGTTTGTTGTAGTAAATATCCATATAAATCATTGTTAAAACGTTTGTGAGAGATAAGAGATGAGAGTGAGTGAGAGATGAGTAAGTGAGTTACTTAGTTGAGTATACATTTATGTGTATATCCATATATGCATTTTATGTGTGTGTACTCCTTGATATGTATGTATACATACACACAGTATTTGTATTTGTATTTGTATTCAAGTAAATGTACACATACACATACATGAATAGTACCCATGCACATGCACTTTCACATTCACATTTACATTTACCTTTACCTTTACATTTACATTTATATTTACATTTACATAAATGCATACATACATACATACATTTATTTTGTGAATTTGTTTCTTTTTTTATTTTCATTGTGTCATGGGATGTGTATTATAATGATATTTATGGAAGTGATATGGTATATGACAAATTTAATTAATCATAATAATTTTATGAAAATTTTTCAAGCCCTTGGTTAGTGTGTGAAAAAATATTGATATATACCCAGTGCTATATGACGTTGATGTCTAACACACCTATATGTTTTAACCATTAACCATTATATTACAGCCCTACGTACCTGGAAGGTGTGATCTAGTCCTGAAATGGAAACCTCCAAGCCACAATTCTGTTGATTTTAAGTTAAAAATTGTCAAGAAAGGTGGTGTAGGGTGAGTATGTACATTTTTGTTTAAGAAGTATTTGTGATCTTTTCTTGTTTTGTTACTGTTGTCTATGCTTTAATCATCTAATTATGACAGTGCCAATACAGCATCATTGCGTTAGCCTAGTCTATCTTGTAGCCCGATTCCAACAAGAAATTGAACACTGGGCTTGTCCTGTACAACTCCTGGCCTAAGGTAGCGGAGTTTTAGGTCAACCCACTAATGACGGGTGTCCCACATATGAGACAACCGAAAAAATAAACATTGCCGGGTGTCCTGCCAATATGACGCTGTATTGGGGCTCGCACTTTGACACAGCAGCGGGCCACAGCTGGCAGGCGGACAGACACCGTGGCAGCTCCGCCTGCCGATTTTGTAGCCGCCCAAAATCTTTTATTTTTGGCTTCAAAATATACCAGCGTTAATATTTTATTTATATATTCTGTCCCATAGGATTGTCAGATTAGTCACACTCTCTATTCTTGTCTTTATGTTTGTTTGTTGAGCTTACATTCTGGGTACTTCATGTGTTTGTACTGCTGCTTAGGTAAGTTAGGTACCTCCTATCGATTTTGCAAATAATATATATCTGGTAGTAGGAGAGTTTGCGAGCATTTTATTTCTCTTTAAAGGAAAAAATAACTGCTTTCTGAATAATACTGGATTTGCTGAATGCAAATGAATCTTTATTGTCAGATGCTAATATGAAAAGGTTCCTCCATATTGTTTTATGCAAGGGCAGTAGATATCCATTGGAAATATGAGCATAAGCTATGCAGTTCCTCTGACTGTGTAGGATGCTGTCATTTAAGATGAAAATTATAGGCATTTTTATTAATGTGTTGATTTTTATGTATTAAAATTTGAATTAACACATGCATTTCACTTTGTAGGATAGTATGTTTTTTTTCTCTTAGTAATATCATCAATTTTCAAGTGCTATGATATGTTTGTTAATTGCAGCACAATAATATGCTCTACAAACAGTAGAATAATAAAACTTCATTTAGTTCATTGGTTGAGGTATTATGTAATATGGCACTTAGTCCCGTAGTAGTATTTATTTTACATTCAGGCTGTGTGGGAGACCGCGCAGGAGAGTGCCCTCTAAGGTGGTGTTGCTTTCCTGCCTTTGCATATATATGTTTGTGTACGTTTATATAAACACATATGTTTGTGTATGTATATATAAACCCTTTCAGATACATGCAAGCACACAAATATACGTAATTGCACTCAGAGAGAGTGGAGGTCCTGGCCGTAGTAGGTGCTGAAGGCGTGCAACTCCTTTTGTGGGGAACATTCCATCACCTGTGCTGAGCCCTGGAAGGTTGCAAGGGAGCCTCCAGCTTGGTGGCTGACATCTATGCAGCCACCAGCTGCTCTGTGGGATTGGCCAGATATGGCACTTTGCATCAAGTCATGCCATCTGCGACCATTTTGGTTTTAACATGTTATTTCTTATAATTTAGACAATTTCTGATTAGTGGATGCTGTACACAGAAATACAAATGAATGCACCCTGCATACTTTTTCAGAATAACTGTATAGCTTATTGTATACCTGATGGATATTTGGAATACTTTATGAAACCATAATTGCACAAACTAAAGAAATATTCAAGGGGGACTGCGGGAAGTGGTACAAGAAATGTATGTTTTTGTAGGGAGGGGATTGCACAAGCCATACAATTTAGGAATTCTTATCGTGTACTTGATTTGCTCGGATTGGGTGTCAGTGGTAAAAAATCACTTGTGTAATTGAGAGCTAAAAGAGCAGCTTGGGGATGAGCCAAGGGAGAAGCAGTGCTTATTCTGATGTCATCAAAGCTTCCCACACCTATTGTGAAGTGCAGACTTATTGCATGGTTCTTTACTTTCTTCCTAAGAAGAGTTTATGTTAAATAAATATATGCATTTTTCCAGATTATTGCCAACAACAGAAGGAGACCTGTATGTAGGGGGGCTGGACGCTCCCTTCTCAACAATAAAGCCGACCAAGGGGTTGAAGGAGTACAACAACAAGATCATTGAATGTAAATATGAAAATAACAAGTGGGTCTTCATGAGAGAGAGGACTGACAAATCGTTCCCCAATAGCTACACTACTGCCATGGGTAGGCCAGTGGGAGATTTTTTGTTTGTGGTACTTGCTTGCTTGCTTTTTATTATTATTATTATTATTATTATTATTATTATTATTTTTTTTTAAGCAGTATATATCATTATTATTATCATGTTCTTACATAGCATCTTTTTAAAGAAATATTTGAGGTGTTGAGTGATATAAGAGAAAATTTTATGTACTTTTTATTTTTTTTTTAGCATTATTGATCATTATCATTATTGTATTTTTGTGTAGCCTCTTTTTTATGGAATATATGAATTGTTGAATGATAGATATGGGATATTTGAGGTGCTGAAAGATATAAGTGAAAATTTATCCATCATGAAATATTACATGATGTTGATGAGTAACTTGGAGTGTTTTACGATAACAGTTGGGTCAATGCAAGCTTTTTGCTATATCATGAATAATAGAAGTAATGTAAGCTTTTAAGGCAAATATAAAAACTAACAAGTGGATCAACTTGCAAGACATCATAATGTATATTCTGTATAATAGAATTCGATCATTGTCTTAGGACTGAATACCATTGGTTCTATAATTTTTACCATCCAATGTCCATCTAACTCTGCCTTCATACCAATATTCAGACCTTATCATAGTTTTAAGTGTCTTCAGTATTAAAATATTTCCTCTTTCTTTTCCCCCTCCAAATACATCCAGCTGTTTGCAACAGTATTAGCAACCCAGTTACCGAGGCTGACCTACTCAAATTCATCCATGCTCAAGGGTACAAGAAGGCCGACAAGGAGTTGATGCCGCCTCCGCCTGCTAAGAGGCCAAGAATGCAATAAACATAAAAGGGGATGAACCATGATGCAGTAGGAATATGAATAAAGAGAATATGGAGGAAAAGAGAAAATGAATATGGTTAAACATTTGGACTAAACATTTTTTTTAGTTTCCAGGTAGAAAGTAAAAATCAAAAATAGTAATGGAATGATTCATGTCTTCCCCCAGCAGATATTATGGAATTTTGTTATTCATGAATTTCAATCATTTTAAATGAAAGAAATTAATTTACAAGGAGGATGAATATGTGTCTTTTTCATAAATGATGTGTACTTTCTCTTATTCATTTATAAAATGAAACAAATTTTCTCTGTGACTCTGTTATTCCCTCGCTTGTTTATGTATTGCAACACATGATCATCATCTGTGAGAAATATGAAATAGATCTGTGAGTATTCTTCTTTTAGATAACAATAGTCAAAGTTAATGCACCGATACTTTTTTCTCACTTTCTTTGAACATCTAAAGTAAGATAGCTTTTGAAATCTGTAACATCATGAAATACAAGGATTGAAAGAAGAAGAAGAAAAAGAAAAGAGAAACAATATATATATACATATATATGTAAATTTATATATTTATGTGTATATATATGTATATACACAATGCTTCAAGAAGGATAAATGCACAATTTAGTTTTCCTGAGAAGTTGATAAGTAGATATTATATAGACAAATCAATGAACAAGTTATAATAAAAAAGTTTTATAAGTGTATGTCATGTGCCTTTCCTCTTTAAGAAATGAAAACAAATTCTGTGCTAAGACTCAGTCCTTTTCCCTGGATTATACTACAACATTTAATTTTAGAATGGTTCAGGATGCTTCTATGTGAGGTGTTTTTTGCTTGCAATATTGTGTGTGCTCTTGCGTTTCAAAAAGGTGTGTGTGTGGTGGGGGTGCATACTTGTGTGTGTGTGTGTGCTTGTTTGTCTGTCTGTCTGCATGTGCATAGTATGCATCTTTTATAGAATTTGATATTTACTTGTATTTAGTTTTTAGCGAAAAACAAAACAAAGAATTAAACATCTGGGGTCATACGGTGGGCCATATACAATTATCGTAAGCCCTTGCTCTCACGCTATCAGTTATATATACCACTCTCGCGCACCTCGTGGCAGCGTGCTCGCTCTCTATGTGCGGAAAGTTAGCGTAACTTCTGAGACACTATTTCCCTTCCCTTATATACGCTCCCTTCTTCTTTTGACTCAGCCTTCCTTTACCCCTCACTCACTCATCACCTCTTCGCTGTACATTCTCACTCTATATACTTGCTAATAGGAATTATTTTCGCTCGTTCCTCACTCCCCTCTTCTTTCTTGAACGCTGCATATCAATCAACATCTCTATCTATAATGTCTCTCAGGCCTATGCTTTTTTCCATTGCTTAACCTATCATTTCTTATTACTACCAATTCCCTCTACTCATTTATCCATCCCTCTCCACACACCTCTCTCCTCATATATTCGCGAATCCACATTTAAATTTAAATAAATTTAACAGCAATCCTACCCTCCAAATATAGATAGATACGTATGACCCAAGAGAGAGAGAGGGAAAGCCATAACACGCATACCCCTCTCAACCCCTTTACGGTCCACGTGGATGAGTCTTAGGCTACAACTCTACGTGCATTAGGAACATGTGTCACAAAACAGTAGATAATCAGATCATACTCTCTGATAATATGCATTAGTGTGAGACAGGGATAAAGCGCGCTGTAAGCAGATGAAATAAGGTTATTCAATGAGCTATGCGAGAGTCCACTCGGAAGATGGTCGATCACATTATGTAGAGTGGATGCACTAAAAGGAGTATTACGTCATTGCATGGTAGGATGAGGACCGGTGAGGGTAGAGCGCAAAGCCGAATGCTGAGTGCAGGTCGATTCATGTGGCGATGGTGGGCAAGAGAGTGGAGAAACTATAGTTGTTTGTGGGAACTGGACTAAGTGACCAGTTAGATTGAGGCCTAGAGGAGATGATAGGGAGAGATGGGAAAAAAGGCAGTTGTGCCATGGAGTGATATTGTAGATTTGTCTGCATGGGTGGATGGGCTACTTGGAACGTTGGTAATAACTTGCTCTGAATAGCAGAGGGGAATAGATTCTATAGTGCCCGTGCGTTATACTTACTCCAAGGGATGTGCTCAGACGTGACTGATGGGAGGGCGGTACAGGCTGTAAATGGGGCAATTTCGTGGATCCTTCTGCGATCGGCGCAAAGGACGCGAGTCTCGCTTACTCACCTAGGGCGGAACAGTAAGAGAAGAAATGCTCGATATTTGTCAATTTGTTAGCGGTGATTTTTGTAGTAATGGAGGAGTTTTTATAAAAAATAAGTCTCAGTGACATTATATTTACTGCGGGTAACATTGATTAGTAGGTGGACGAGGAATTAAATGGTAAGATTATAATTTAACTATCTTGGCTACCTCGGTACCTCTCTCTTCTTACCTCTTATCTATTTCTTATTATTTATACGCCTAAAGTCATTCCAATTTAATTTTCTATTCTTATCTCTTCTCATCTCTCATCTATCTTTATATCTCTCATCTTACTTTCTCTTATATATATTAGTATATATTAATAATATATATAATTAATTAATATTATAAAATATATATATATATATATATATATATGTGTGTGTGTGTGTGTGGTGTGTGTGTGTGTCCGTGTGTGTGTGTGTGATGGTGGTGTTGTATATTAATACTAAGGTTCACACATATATATTATAATATTAAAGTGATAGTATAATTAATGTTACCTTAATATACATTATATCATATAATATATATATATCTATATATATATAATAAAATAATTAAACAAAATCAATATATATATTATGTATATTATATATATATATATATATTAATACATAATTAATAAATTAAAATATATTGATATTACCTATATATATTATATTATTAATATATATATAAATAAATATATATATATTAATTAATATATATATATATATATATATATTAATATATTATACTATATTTAATATATATATACACTCACTAGATATACAATTTATATTAATATCATTTATATATACAAACATATTATATATTTTATTTATTTATTTACTATTATTTATTCATTATTAAAATACTAAATATATTAAATAATTTAATAATTAATAAAATTATATATAATATATTTAATATATAATAATATGAATCTATATATATATAAATACATAAATATAAGTATGATATCAATATATTAAAATATAAGTATAAATCAATATATAAATAAATATAATTCAATATATAAAATAAATATAAATCAATATATTAAATATAAATATAGATATTAAATACAAATATACATAAATAGATATATAAATATGTATATAAATATGATATATAAAAAATATTATAAATATTTTATAGGTTAGAGTATAAAATATTATAATTGTTACCTATTTTAGATATGACCTTATATGATATTATATTACCAACTCTCACTCATATCTATTACTTAACCATATAGTGACCCATCCTCCAGTAGTGTGGTATAAATGTACATACACTCTACTAAAGTGGTGAATTACTATGGTGAGAATAACTCACATAAATCACAATATCTATTTTATAGATGTATAATATATATACTATACTATACTGTAAATTATATACTCCCATATCTCTCAACCAG